GCGCACGCGCACGCGCACGCGCACGACTCTAGGGTAGCTCAACCTTATGGCCTTTGTGTGGCTGCTACTTTGGGCCCCGAGCACTGTCGCAATGTCGACAAGTATGGTCACCATCACGCAGATGTCATTCTGGTGACGGCAATCGTGGAACGAACCTTCATGCCAAAGGAACGGTGATCGTTGCAGTTTTACTTAATCCTGAAACGCAAAACCTAGTTATCAGTGAAGGCGGCAATCAGACCCTGGGCTAGCTTGGACAAGCTTCCTTCTCCCGCTGTGGGACTATGAGGTGCGGTGCCGCTGGGTGCCAAAAAAAGGGTGCACGATGCACAACTTTTAAGACTCGGGGGCCGCGGTTTAGAATAATTCGGGTTCAGGGGCCACTGTCACCGTGGATTTGCCTGCCTAGCATGAGGTGCGGCCCAAAACCAAAGCGGCAAGAGCCTTCCCGCCTTGCAGAAGCCCCGTGTCCTAACTCCCTCAACATTTCCGCTTCCTTTCTGGCTCCAGCTTGCGGCGTCGGGGCCCCCGCCCCGCTCCTCATTACTGGGTCCATGCCGGTGCGAAGACCGCACCCGAGGGCCTACTTAAAGTAGGCCGGCCAGGCGCGGCCCCCAACATTCCGAAGATTTCGGGAATCCGGGGGCCGAAAGCCTGGAAGGTCATGCAATCTCAAGGGTGCATGGGGTCCTGCAGTTGGGGGCAGACGTGTGTTTAGGGCTTCCCGTCCCGCTGGGGTGAGACGGTCTGACTTTCTGGGCGTTTGCTGCTTCGAAGCTTGAGGGGTGGAGTTCTTTGGAGGGAAGAGGAGGTCTCAAAAGGTGAGTTTTTTAGGCTTCCAGTCAGTTTGAATTTGGCTTCGGAGCCTTGGGGCCTTGAACCTCTTGGGGCTTTAGGGCCGACTCGGCCCCCAAGGCCCCCCAAACTCTGGGTTTCGGGAATTGTTCGAGGGGCTGGGATGGGTTTGTGCTCCTTTCCCTTTCGCTTCGCGCGCATGGTTCCACAGCTAAAGCCCGAAAGCCCTAAAGTTCCCTGAAGACCAAACCCCGGGACCTTGCCCTCCATCATTGAAAATGAGACATAGTTCCCAAGGAAAATTGCAGGGCACCCGAGCCGAACACAGCCGCGACGGGGGCTCCCTAAACCCTCAACCCTAAACCCCTAAAGCCCTAAACCCTAAACCCCAAACCTCCTCCAACCGGCCTGACAGTCCCGAGCCTCCGACTCGAAGAGCTTCTGCCAAACCACAGAGACGTGCTTTAAGGTTTGGGGTTTAGGGTTTAGGGTTTAGGGTTTAGGGACACCAGAGGCTGTGACACTGGAACCCTCCAGACCGGCAATCTGCGGACACCCCCAACAACTTTGACCCAAAGAACCTTGACTTGGAGCCTCGTAGTCAGTAGTAGACTTTAACAGTTTAGGTTCGGCAAGTGCGCGCCCCTGAACTCGACCATTCACCCTGAAACCTTCAACACCTTGTTGGAGCCCGATTGAAACCACACATGTCAAGTTCTTCAAGGCCTTGGAGGGGACGCTATGGCTGCCGAGAAGATGGCCTGCCGAGGGTTTTCTCTCAGGTTGCACTGATCTACGTAGTGGGCGGTTTAAAAGATTCGGGGCCGGTGGTAGCTGTTGTTGGAAGCGTTAAGGATCATGTTGGGTATGTATTGCAGGGATACTTTCTCTACGTACCCTGTGCTGGTCTTATACAGGTATCTACTCAAAATCTTGAGGCTCTTGCAAGGTCCTTCCAGCTGGACCCTAAACCCTTCTCGCGAGCTGAGGCCTAAATCGCACCTTTGATTTTCTGCCTTAGCTTCTGGCCTTTGAATGACGAATGTAGGACTCTTGGCGCTTCTTTCAAAGCGTTTCTGTCCCCGCCGGGGCTGTGAATGCTGTACCTGGTGGTCTTGAGGGGCCTTGGTTTCGGATTTGGACTTCTGGAGATAGCGTGGCGGCGTGGCGGGGTTTTGGACGGCCCCTTGACAAAAGCCCCCTTGAAAGACCTGCTACTGTAGGCTAGAGCTGCGCTGCTTGCATGCAGTGTCAGTCCTCAAACCCCAAACCCTGAACCTTGAGCTCTAAATTTCGCACGAAACCCCTAAACCCCAAACCCTAAACCCGCCTAAACCCGAAACCCTAAACCCCAAAGAGGCCGTGCAGGAGCTCCGAACAGGGACCCCGCGCTGCGAGGAGCAGTCCATGACGTGTCGATCCCGGGGCCCTCAATGAAACCACCTCGATAGCACCCTTTCCTTCCTGAAGCTTAGGGTTTAGGGTTTAGGGTTTAGGGGCTAGGGAAGCCCCTAAACCCTGCTGTAAACCGCCCCTAGGCTCTAAACAAAAAAAGACGGAATCCCCACACCTCAAACCACTGAAGCCCTCTAAACCGGCTCCAGGTGATGCCGGAAGTGCCGGATGCTGACGAGGCGTGGAAGCAAACATTCTCTTTCGTCACCCTAAAACCCCAAACCCTAAACCCCCTGAACCCTAAAACCCTAAACCCTAAACCCTAAACCCTACGACCTTGACCCTCATCGCGGAAGCCCCAGACCTTTAAAGCTCACGCGGGTTCCTGGCCCAGGACAGCGAGGGCTCGCAAGGCTACGAGAACATGGAGGTGGTCTTTCTTGTGGTTTAGAGCGTTTAGGGTTTAGGGTTCAGGGTTTTTGCCAGGGCCGTGGTATCAGCACTGCTGCCATCAATGTTGTTTTGTCCACTTTTCCTGTTTTGCATCACACTTCGTATCGTTGTCGTGATTGTTATTTGCTTACGCTTCTGCATACTTTTGCGTCGACAAAACATCTAGGATCAGCAGTTCGCAACTATGGTTACTTGATGTCAGTTGCCGATTGTACCACTGGCCCTGAGACCAGGCAAAGCTGATAGAGGTCTGAAGGCTGGAGTGTCCTCATAGTACGAAGAACCGAGAACCTGTCATCTAGAACACCCCTAAAGGGCCCTACCCCTGAATTACGAAGTGCCTATGTGGGGGTTTCCGAAAAATAGGGGACCCCAATATAGTACCCCCAAAATAGTAGGATCCTTATGAACAAAGGACCCCCAAATAAGGTACCCTAACTTTCGGAAAGTCCCATGGTTCGTCCTCTCTCATCAGGAGCTGGGGCAGAGCCAGGCGCTGGGGTTCGCTGAGGAGGACCGGCAGTTCTACGAGGAGGAGGAGGAGGTCGACGAGCTGATCGACCAGGCCCGGTTTGAGGGCTTTTGAAGCTCTGGGGTTTCAGGCTGAAGCTTTGGGGTTAAGGGGCATTGTCGTCGGGCTTACCTTTGATACTCTGATCCTCAAGGAGCTCGAGATGCCTGTCATGAGCAGTACTTGTGCGTCTTTGTGAGGCTCATGATGCTTGATGTCATGAGTCACTTTCGACATCACTGACTTGCCGTTTCTTGTTAACTTGTTGGTTGCTGCCCGTTGCTGCAAGTCTTGCGACTGTTATGATGCGTCTCGTCCTGCTGGTGATTCCTGACATTGTGAGTCATGATTTTAACTAATAGAAGCCTGAACCGTGAGTTCTAATCCCTATATGATCCCAAAGGTTAGCCTGTAGTTTCCCTAGGGTGCTGGACAAGTAGGAAGTCCCAACTTCCATCTTCCAGGAAGCCCAGCTTGCTCTGGCGCAGAAGCAGGAGCAGGAGGAATACCTCATACGCCTGGAGCAGACCCTCGGCTAAATCACCTTCCGGAGCTCGGACTTCGCGGTTTCGGTGGGTTTTCGGTGTTTAATCCCTAAACCCTAAACCCTGAACTGTTTCTAGTTCAAGGGGCTTCAAGGTGCACGGATACCTAGAAAGCAGGCTGTAGTTGAAATAGCATCAGCTGCACGGAAGCAGGTTTCCGCCTGCATATCCTACCTGGGTCTGTGCGAACCCTAAACCCGAAACCCTAAACCCTAAGCCCGAAGCCCTAAACCCTAAACCCTAAACCCTAAACCCGAAACTTATCCCATCAGACCTTAGGCCTTAAACTGGACAGGGATATGTAGAGGGGAGAAGCAGCGAGCCAGCGAGGTGCTGGTCTCTTGAAGCTTGCATCTGTAAAGGCTCACCAAGAGGCTTTAGAGCTTAGCATTTGGGAGTTTTGGGCTTGCGCTTGGGGTGTTGGGTAAGAAGAGGTTTGGACATCCGAGAGCCCGATGACCCTAGCGCAAAGGAGTTTTCTGGTGTTTGCAAGCAAATTATTTAAGCTATGTTGCTTGTGAGGTTCAGGCGTTTGTAGAGGTTTGCATGGATTGGCTGGGTTTATGCCCATGCAAGATTTCACGGGCGTGTAGAGAGTGGAAGGATCTCGCGTTGTTCGGTGACCTGGTTGAGTGAGGACTACCAGTCGCAGTTCAGGACTCAAGGCTCAAGCCTACTGCCAGGTATCTGAAGCAGGTGGCAGCGCAACTGTGCGGGCCTCAGCGCACGCGGACTAGAGCGTGGAGGTCCTGTGCCATCAGGGAGTCGTCGATGGCTCCATTTTTTTTGAGACGCTTGGGGTGTCGGTCGACTTGGCTCTCCTTGGGGCATCCTTCCGGAGTCTTTTTTGGCTGCTTATACTATACATCCAAAGTCCAAAGGCCCGGAGACCGAAAGGTCACAAGCCTTCCAGATGCGTCAAGCCGTGTAGGCCCATAGACCTATCAGATCACCTCCTCCTGGGCTTTGTGGCTTATGCCTTTGTCCCGTATCATGCATTCCTCGCATTGTTCCGGATCCTACTATCCCATGAGACGAAACCCAATTCCTACACCGCAAAGCCTCGAAACGCAAAGCACCCCCGCATCCGCTTCCTCCCAACGACCGAGCTTGAGCATCTTGGAGCGTCCAGTAGAAACGTCTACACAAAAAACCTTTGAACCCCACATCCTCAATCCCGAGAATCCGAGAGAAAGGAAGCTTCCTCGAAGGGACGTCCACGGCTCAGGCCCCCAGCGGTTCCTCCGCCACCTGTGTATGAAGAGCTTGCTGCGCGAAGTCCCAGGAGCAGGGTTCTGGGGTTGAGGGTTTAGATCTCCGCGACAAGAGGTCTACCGTAAGGTTTAGGTGTAGGGCACCCTGATCCTTGGTAACAACTGGCATCTCTGTGGTTCGTTTCCAGTGGTAGAGTAGCCCTTAGCAGCGTGTACAGCAACCTTGATAGAATCTTCTTGTCGAACCTCTACAGTACCTTGATAGAGGACACAAAACCCTCAACCCTTATAGCAACCCTGACAGTGCACTTTATAGTTTCTAGTAACCCTTCGAGAATTTATAGAGCCCTCGTAGTGACCCTTACCATAGAAGCTTTCCAAGAGCCTTTCTGAGGCCCAGACCATCAAAGCCGGCCGTGCCCTGATGCGCCCCACGCCCAACTTGCCCGGGGCCTCGGCAACCCTAAACCCAAAACCCTAAACCCTAAGCACTAAGACCTAAGCCCTATAAACCCCAAGCCCTAAACCCTAAGCCCTAAGCCCTAAACCCTCAACCCTAAACCCTATTAGCCCTAAGCCCTAAGCCCTGAAGCGCAGAGAAGGGCTTTTAGGGCTCTTGGGTTGTTCTCAGGGAGTCTTGGGGCTTCGAGGTTTCTGAAGGTTCTTGGGGTTCTTTGGCGGGACCCTGCAAGGGCGAAGGGTAGATAGGTGTGAGAGCGGTCTGGAACTCGGGGTTGTGAGGCTTTGGGGTTTTGGGTCTGGGAGGTTTCGGATTTGGGATGCTTGCCAGCAGGAGGGCCATGGCATCATCAGCTGAGATCCCTCCACATGTCCACTCCGGGCAGGTTCAAGGCTACCTTTGAAGGCGCGCACCGGCAGCCCGTGCCCCAGCCACGTGCCAGGAAACCCTTGGAGCTCGCGGTTTGGGTTTTGGGGCGTAGCGAAGACTTAAGCACCCAAGCTGCAGGCAGGACCACGTCCCTGATGTTGAGTCTTCAGGCTTCGTGGGCTCTGTGGTTCAGGTCGCATCGCATCTGTGAAGCGAAGAGACGCGACAAGCGCGAAGCATGCGTCGCATCCTCCCGGCGGAGACTTACCGTGTTCTACGTCGCCCTTGCATGAGGCGATCTCGCAGCGAGCAGGCCGAGCTGCGACGCTGCCTCTGTGTTGGGGGCTTCCACGTTCGCAAATCGCCTTTGGCCCTCGGCGGAGGTGTCACGCCATGCGCGACAGGATCTGTCGAAGAACCTGCGACGCGTGATTGGAACGAGCTGCCAGCAGGTTGCTAAGCTCGCAGGCTGTTTCGGCGAAATGGATTGCAATCCACCGAAGACCTGATTGACAACAGTGCACATGACAAGAGCACCATTTCTGTACTGAAAAATGCCAGTGGCATCATCCATCTGCGAATGAAGTTGTAAAGTAAAAGCTTGTCATCTCATGTTGCAACATGACATGACGACGACGCTGCTTGCGTCTTTCCAGGTTGAAGGACCGTTTGGCCCGTTCGATGTGGGTCGCCCCATGCCCATGGAACGAGCAGGCGCTCCCAGAGCCGCGGCAGCAAAAGATGCATCGCGCCTGCGGAGTCTGCATGCCGTCGCAGGCTGGCAGATGGGTTATTGGACCGTGTCGCGGCAGCTGCGCGTGCGCGCGCGAGGCGCTTCTCGTCGCTGCACGAGCCACGCTCTGCATACTCAGCCTCGGCAGCCGCAGTTCCCAACCTCGGCTCATCTGCTGCTTCGCAGACCACCATGGTGATCATGTGCACGCCCTGACGTTTCGATTCCACGACACATCCCGGGGCCATACCGCAACATGTGGCTGCGCAAAATGCGAATTGCTTTGGATTTGTGCCTGCCGTTGCCCTCCCAACTCGTGGAAAGCTGCAACTCGACTTTGCGGACGGCTGGCAGTGCCGCGCTTCTGCAGCTCTTTGCCCCGATGCCGGCGTGCTCACCTGTGCCGCGCCGTGAACTGTTGCTGAAAACTGCAAGTGTGTTGCTTTCCCTGAATATCTGAGCGGGCATGCTTTCAAGACCGGCGAGTCATTGATTGCGATCCCCTTTGCACGACTCCGGGGAGCCGTCGCCTCCTAATTGCGTTGGTGGTCGCGTTGGTTTACGAGTTTTTTCTTTTCGATCGCAGGCATCAAAATTGGAATGGTAAGAAATCCCCTTGCACAGGCTGGTTTGGCTGTGCTGGACGACCCGGACCTGCCAGCCACACTTCGTAGCAGCTTGAACCCTACTTGTCGCGCAGATAAGCTTTGATGTACTGGCTCCGAAATCGTCTCGTGCGCGTGCGTGCACGTGGGGATTCTACTCGAGCGAAACGCACGTGTTGCACGGCATAAACGAAGGAGGTTTCACAGCTGGCGAGCGTCGCAGGCTCCGGCTCCAACTTCCGCTCGCCCCCTGGGAGCGAGTTGGAGCCGGGGTGTGGCCGCAGTGATGCGTCTGGACACCATGTAGTTGTTGGTTAGGCAGGCCAGATTCGTCGAGCAGGCCTGGTGCAAGGTCGCCCGTGAGGCCGTTGGCCCTGAAGGACTCGTAGGTCCCCAACAGACAGACCGCTGCACCTGGGATTGCGCCTGACGACCGCAGGCGCCCTGACCTTGTCATCTCCGTCGCTCGCTGTGTGGAGCCACCTGCTGCGACGCCACCCTCGTCTCGCCCCCGGCGAAGTTGGAGCAGTCTTGCGGACATTTGTGGACTGCCTCCCGGCCCCAGGGGCAAGCGCGCCGTTCACCTGCAGCTCGCTGCTGGTGGCGCGCAGACGCTGTGTGTGTGTGTGCGCCCTGCTGCGACGTGGGTGGTCCGCTGGTGCAGTGCGCTATGAGCTGCCGCCCAGCAAGCCGTCAGTGCTGGGGCGCGCCCAGCCAAAACCGGGCGCGGCACATGCTCATGCTTTTTGCGCAAGGGCTCTTGGCAAGGGTCAGCTTCAAAAAGAAAAACTGCAACATCGTGCTTTTGCCACACCGTGTGGTTGTTCGGCTGAAAATCCCGTGGCCGGTTTCGCGTTGCTCCGGATCGCAGGCAGCGTCGCCGTTACGGCAGCATTCGCCGTGGCACAAATGAAAAGTCCCTATGATTTGTACACTCCAAACATGGAGCAGGAGCATGATGGAGCATGTCTCGAATCGCCGGAAATCCTGCAAAAGTTTCGGATCGCCCTGTCTGCCGCAAGCAATCGCATGCATAAGTCGGAGAACAACACGGCTTTTCAAGTGCAAGCAGCACGTTCCGAACAACATCTTTGTGTGGACGGTCTGCCCAGCCTGGTGAGGACGTGCCATTCGGCCGCTGTCAATTGAGCCGCTCGACGCGAACGCCACCAGACCTACCTCGAGCTTGTGCGCTCGTCGCTGCAGCTTGATGGTCATCGGTGTTGAGGGCGGGGGCCGGTCTGGCGCGGAAGCTGCCGCATGGCTCCGGATGCTCGCGGAGCAATTTGCCTCAGACACAATGAAATTTCCGCTCGTTTCAATTTCCGGGTCGGACGCGTGCGCAAACTCTGGCACGTTTGCGGTGCGAGGGAAAACATAACATACCCTTCTGGGTAGCTCGCACCAAAACGCAGCGTGCACCGTGCACGTATGTTCGCGTGGTTCAATGCACGGTTGCGGCATGATGCGTGAATCCTGAAGAGTCCCACGTATATTTGGCAGATTGGACGCATGGGGCAGGGCGCGTGAAACCCAATGAGTGTGTGCTTGCTGTTGCGGGGTACGCGCAGGGAACTAATGTTAAGCGAAGGAAGTCACTGAAGTCACAGGCAGTCGTTCAGCACGAATGCCAAGCGGTACAGACAATCTTGTTTTGACTAGCTCGTCTTGAGCCAGTAAGTTACAGCAATCACATTTTTCTCACAGCAGTGCGTGCTGAACAGTCTGACTACACGTGTGGGCCCAGAGACCCGAGTTGATGCATAATAATGCTGTGTTTGATACAAACGCGTGTTGTCACAGCTGTTGCCATTCGTTTCAGCCCTGGGCAAGTATAAAAAAACTCTCCTTCAAAATGCTGCAATTGCATTTTGCTGTGTTTCACCTGCGCTTTCTTGCCACTTGTCCGAAGAGTGTCGTGATTGGCTGTGCCCCGTTACGACCAGCATGTATTTGCAGTTTCGTGGCTCGACTTCAGGCCGGAATAATTCGGAACGACTTTTTGGGGAAAGCTGATTTCACACGAGCACTTAGCATTGCTGCATTGGGTGCAGGCAGAAGCGAACAAAGTCGAAAACCCATGGTATAGGCCTGCTACCACAAATGTTGCCCGTGTGCATAGAAAGATGCCGCGAGTTAGGAGATCACATGCAGGTTTCGCGCTCAAAGTAACCATTTCCCGGCTTGCCGGTTCGTTTAGAGCAACCAGTCGCCAATTGAGTCGTCGTCAAACCCCGTTCTGGCGCTATTATCCAATAACTCAATCGGTGAGTGTACTTGCGGCTGCCGAATAAAACTTGAGGACATATATACATGTACATGTACATGT